TTTTATTTCATCATGTGAGTTGATGCTTATCAACTTCAGCTGTTTATCTTCAGCTATTGAAAATCTATAAATTAAAGATGTCAGTGTTTTGCATTATAGGTTTTATATGGGAGTTGTTACTTTATTATTGATAATTATTACATATAGATGTTTCAGGTGTTTCCCTAGTTTTTAGTATTTTCTTCTTTTTTAAGGAAAAGATACAATAATATTATTGTACTGATGGCCTCCTGGAATCCTGATACTTTCCAGAACCACAGGCCTGGCTATTAAAACGTAGCCACAAGCGCTCCTTGGTGAGCAATAAAATATTCCCAGCATCAGCATCGAATCCAAGCTTTTATAGACAATTACAGGATCAAACAGTTACAAAAAAAAAAAGATTTTCAATGACATAGCTGTGGCTGCCTCTGTCTTTGAATATCTTCTAGAGATATATTTATTTATGAAGAATAAAAGCATCTAAACAGGTAAACAAACAGGAATGATTTACAAATCTGAAGACTTCTTTGTGGAGCCCAGAAGAAACATATCCTGCCAAAACCATCTGCAGCACTAAACAAACCTCTTCTTTCTTTTATTTTAATATCTACTTAATATCTACCCCACTTCCTTAAAATTTAACACTGGGATGAAGCATTTATTCATAGGAAGGGCTGAAGTGTATTATTTTCATTAAAACACTTTGATTTTTTCCCTTGATGTTATTTCTATCTTCAGGGGGGAAATTAAATGTAAACCCTTTATTTCACCCTCTTCTCTTCTGAAAGAAAGAGAATAAACAAATGCAGCTAAGTAATGTAAGCAAGTTTCCAAGAGGAACACTCTAGCTCTTTGGTAAGGTTGTCAGGCAACTTATTAGCTCTGATGTTGGCTCTGCATTTCATATATGTTCATGTTGCTTTTGGACTCACTAAGTTACACAATGAATCCTCTGGGATGCCATTTTTGCTTGGCTTCTCTTTGATCTGAAAAACCTACACATTTTCCATGGCAACTATGAGCGAATGCTCCACAGATTAGATGATGAGGATTCTCCATAGCTACAGAGAGATACTTTTCCATGCTCTGTAGTTTACCTGCATAACTCAGAAATGCCATCTTGACAACGTGTTCTGTGCAAACTCTTATACTGTGCCCAGCACAATGTTATCTCTAACTTGACATCACTCTGGTATGTAGAAAGCATCATTTCTTTCTTTATGGAAGGAGAGCTAGGCCACAAAAAAAGTCAACAATAAAAAAAGTTCTGGGATGTGGGTGGCAGAGAATTTTTCATAAGTTCAGGTCATGCTGCCCATATAGTTTGGCAAAAAAAAAAAACATAGGAAGACATTTTTCAAAAGTAGTGAATCATTTTCCATAGAATGAATGTTTCATCTTTCCTGAAAAACTTTTTTTCACATTAGCCTCCAACAAACGACTTCAAATTGCATTTAAAGATGCGATGCTTAACCTCTATGTGCCTTCACTGTATTCCTCAGAATGCCTGGTTTAGGAACAGTCTAAATTTCCTGCAGTATAAAGCCAAAGCCATGTTGCAGCAAGTACACGATTTCAAGATTTTACCTCACAGGAGCACGTTGTGTCACAACATTCTCTGATGATTCCTGCTACATACAGCAACATCTGGTGTTCGTGGGGGCTGAGCCAAGGCTGCGAAATGTTCTCCTGCTGAGCAAGGGTCTCATCACTTTACCGCTCCAGCCTGAAAGCCTTGTTACAAGGAAAAAAATATTTTCAAAGCCTGAAATGACATGGCCATAGATGCCTCATTCTTTGAATACCTTCTAGAGATATATTTAGTTTTAAGGAATAAAAGCACCTCAACAAATAAACAAGAGGACCAGTGAGCCCCCTTACACCTCCTCCCCACCCAGCTGTGGTGCCAGCTGGGGCACTCGACGCTGCTCCAGGCGAGAGCAGTGGGAGTGAAGAGACTGAGCCTCGTCATCTTGCCTAATGCACCACAGAATGGGAACCCAAGGCCAGACGAGCAGAGACGCAACAGGAGTTTTTATTAAAATTAAAACAGAAATGACCTGGGCACTAAAATTACAATTCTCTATGCAGCAGTAAGATATCTGCATGTATTAATTAGGAAATGTTTTCAACATCAAAGCTAAAAAATACATGCACGGTGTAAAGTGCCACCAGAAACAGACAAAACATTTCCATCAGTTGTCTTTTCAGTATCTAAAATCCATGAAAGATAAAGTACCCAGAAGTTACCAAAAAAAGGTTAACCCTCAACAGTTGTAAATGGAAGGTTCCAGGTTTTCTTTTTCCTTTTGCAGGCATTTAAGACCCTTTAAGGTTTAAATACAAGAAACACAGGTAATGACAGCAAAGCCTGGCGGTTTGCCTGCAATGACACATGTACAGTTTTAGTTACTTTCGCACTAAGAAATGTGAGATTTTGGTGGAGTTATTTTAAAATGAAATGATATCATAGCTTTTGAGGTATGAAAGTTTCCTACCATTTGTCAGTTTAATAAACTGAAGATTTTAATAGAGATCTTTTAACAACACATGCTGTACTCTGAATGTGTGAATATTTCCTAACTAGCCAAGTTTATATCCAGCTCACTCAGGAAACTTTTGGGTTTCTTTGTAGCCTGACAGTGAAACTTAGTAATAACTGACTGATATTAATAAAAAATAATCTTTAGGACATCTGCTCCCCACACTGACTGATAAAGGTCATGCTTTAAAAGAAGAAAAGTAAGTGCCTTGAATTAGACATCTGATTTCTCATTTAGGATTAGCAATTCTTCAAAGATCCAAAGTGTCCACAAATTCCAGGACAGTCTTCTGGATATTCCATACTCTTGAAAGTTAAATCATTTTATTCAAAAGCCTCAATGCGAAAATGAGGCCTAATTTTAGGAATGTGTTTGTTAAATTTTGCATTATGGTTATTCTAACAATGACAATCTTGGTAGTGAAAGGGGATCACCGTTAAAAAAAAAAACAAAAAGAAAAATAAAAAAGCAGCTAAGCCTTCCAAATAAACGCCATCTACCTGCATAGATATTTTGTTAGTGTACATTTCAACTAATGCTGTAATAACATCAGTGAGATACATGCTGTACAGGTGACTGATAATTAACTACTATGCTTCTTCCCTGTTATTATTCAACAGATAAATATCTGTGGTGAGGGTGATAGGTATGTGCAAAGGTGGAAAGTGTAGGAAATGGATCTGATTTTAAAGTTCTGATAGAAAATTGTGTGAGAGAAAACTAGTATGTCACTGGCACAAAACAACTCAAATTTCATATATTAAAGCCGTTTTCCTCTTTGGCCACTCATAAGCAATTTGCTACTGTAATATAAAGGAGTTCAGGTGGGAGTTAAGATGGTATCACACCTTAATAGAGAGCAACTGTTCCTCAAAACTTGCAATCTATAAACAAATCAAGGACAGAAGAAAAAATGTTCCATTTCACTGGTGAAAACTAAGACACAAGGAGAGAGTGAAATGCTCAGAAATGATATGGTTAGCCTGCTATAGATCTTGGCCTTTACCTCCAATGGCAGGGTTTTCTTCCAGGAACGCTGATCTCGCTAACTGCAGCTCAGCTCTTGGTGAGGAACAGCCTTGACTCGCCTCCTCAGCACTGCTAGATAATTTCTATTTTATCCCAAATGAAAAATGAGCAAATAATTTGGGGACCAGGCCTGAAAAATGTCAGCCCAGGAACAGGCTAATATAGACATTTCAAATGGAAACTTTTGGATCAAATTACTTAATAGCAATTGCTAACGACAGCTACAATAACTTTTTCCATAAAGCAAACAAGGAGGGACTACAATGTGATTTATTGGCACTTATGTTTTACATATAAAAGTGTACGAGTTTTTCATAATTTTCTCAGTTTTATTACATTAGGTGCTTAGGATACATAACCCATTTTTTCAGGCCACTTCAGCACTAAGAAAACATATTTCAAAATTTTACAAAGCAATCAAGTTGGAATCTAAAAGTTATCAACAAAATGCCAACTGAAACAAATCCATCAACTTTAAAACATGCTTTGTATTTAGTTAAGTGAGCCAACCATCTCTGACAAAATGCCATTCAGTTTGCAATCAGGATTCTGCATGATAAAACCAATCTTTCTTTTTAATTCTTTTGGAAATCTGGAATCTGGCATTATTAACAAAATGATTAAGTCTTTTCTTTTTTCTTTTTCCTGGACAAGTGCCGCAGTTAACAGAACTCTGTTATCATTCACTGTGATCAGTAAGCAGAAACAGCAAGCACATGGACCTCTTTACTCTCGTTTTGGCCACTCTGTATATTTTTGTTCTTCATTTACTAAGCCCTTGAAACACAGTTCAAGTTAATCTCTATCTGTATTTAGAAGCATTTAGGTAGCGAAAGTCTCTAAAGATATGTCAGAGAGATGCTGTCAGTAGGAAATAACACTAATTAACAAGCTGGAAGGTGGAAACAGCATTTGTTTCAGAAACAAGGTGGATGACAAAGAAGATATGGCCAAGCATGGTAGTAGGTTGACTATGTTGAATATGCCTTCCAGAAGACATCAGGTAGCTGAAATCTAAACTGAAATAATAAAATCAGCTACTTCAGCTGTGAGATTTTAGAGCTTCTCTGATATCCATGATCAAGGTTATACTAACTGCCTTGTGATAGTAAAAATCTGCATTTTTAATATATTTTTTCAGAAAGTGCTTATTAAAAGTGCTCTCCTGTTGTCATTATCCCTTCATAGCAGTTTCCTGTTTAATACCACAACATCCATGTAGGCTACCAAGCAATCATCCAGGTTGAACTTCTCAGTGAAATTTCAAACGTGGTTTAAAGCACCTTTGCTGCCTCCTACCATTGCAGATGCCCACCTTAGTTTACATATTTCCAGTATTAAGTGCAGTGTCAGATAACTAGTTTCTCTGCACAGGTCTGAATAACAGAGGAAACCTGAGACTGAAACTCAGGGATGGATGCCACTCTTGTCATAGCTATCTCACCCCTCACATCCTGCCCTGTGAAGCCTGTACTTATACCTGCTCCATGGTGCAAAGCCACGGGAATGAAAGGAGTCATCTCACAGGGGTGGGAGAAGTGGCTATGAATGTCATCTAGCTAAAACCAGAGTTGAGCTTACCTGTCCTGTTACCTGCCCAAGAGTGCAGGTCTAAGTGCACTGGCATGGAGGAGGTGGGCACGTGCTGCTGTGCACCAGCGTACAGAAGATGATGGGCCACATGTTCCTCCAGACACAGAGGTCTACAGAGCTACCTGCTCTGTCTCATTCTGTAGAGGAGCCCATCCTGTCACTGTGAGGCCTGCCAAGCCAGGCTCCTCCGTACTGTGCTCTGTCATCCCATACGTGCATCCAGTCCAGCTTAACGAGGGAGACACCGTGTGCTGTGTTGAGCAGCTGGAAAGGGGATTTGAGTCTTGATGCTGTGCTTTGGTGTCTAGTCCCTCCGTAAGTCCCATTTTAGGTGTGCAAGTCATTTTATAAAGCCAGTTCTACATGCAAGCGTTTCATATTTAACAGTTTTCTGGCTGCATTTCCAAGTGAAATATGAGCCTTGCTTGAAAAGGGCGGGATTTCAGATATACCAGGGAAGAACTTGCTTTTCAGACTTTTTAAAGGCAGCTGTGCAGTCCAAGCAGAGGGTTTGGCAGAGGTTTGAGTACAGTGGTAATACTGCCCAATCCCAACTTTTTTTCTTTAATGGAAAATGATGGAAAGTCAGTTTAACAGGATTCAGACACTGACTCTTAGAAACAGGCTTTGGTAACCAAAATAAAAAGGATCTCAGAGACTCTAATGGCCTCCTTCACTAAAGCCAGGCCAAGTACTTTCATTTAATAATTGAAGCTATCAGTTTACTTTAACACAATAGATCTAAATCTGCTTTCCAACACTCACACAAAATTTCCTTAGCTCCCTGTCTGTGGTCTGAATTGGCTGCATTATGTTTGTACAATAAATGGGACTGTTGTTAGCTAATGCAATTTTGCCATTATAGTCATAAGATGTGGTGGCAGCTGATAATCCTCACATCGTGAAGCCAGTTTGGTGTTTATGGATGTCAATGAAATCATTTTGACCTCAGATAGGTGGCAGGGTCCCCCATGCAGTTGGGTGAGCTACATAAAAGAGGCTTAAATACCTGGAAAGAGCCAACATCTGCCCTCACCTCCATTCCAAAACACCATGAACTTCCCATGTGCAGAGCAAAGCTTCTCTCTAGGCTTAATCTGTTCTATTAGATAAACTCAGCATTTGTCCCAGGAAAGTTCAGAACAAAAATATTCTTGATACCCATCATATTAGAGAATGTCTCTACTGCTGTGTTACAAAACTAAAAACATGTGCGTTTATTAGGTAAAGGAAAATACGTACATTTTCATTAGAGCAGCCGTTTCATATTATTTTTAGAGAGAAACACTGTTGGTCTTGGAAATGCATGTAGAATATGCACTTACTATAGTATGCACTTACTATAATATACTTGCACTTACAATATATTGCATATATGCATTTACAATATATTGGATCCTTGAATGCACTGGACCATATAAAGGGCCCACATTGCGGCCCAGTTTGAGGGGCAGCTGATGCCCTTCATCTATGCCCCCATAATGAGAAATTATGCAGATCATCAAGATTAATTTTACTTAAATAACTCCATCCAGCACACTTAAAATACACCTTTTGGTATATTTGCTTTTAACTTAAAATACACATATGTATAACTTTCAATCTTCACTTACTCTGCTAAGCCTCACTTTTTTAGCTTCCAAACCTGGAATAACTATCACTGGACCCAGGAAAAGAAGCTGACAGTGGAATTTGCTTAAATATAAAAAGTCCCTCTGTCCACTGAAACACATGCCTTGGAACAATAATCCAAAGGAAAAAAGAAGAAAAAAGAAAAAAAAGAACAGATTTTCAATCTTTCTTCTTTTTTTTTTTTCCATTCATGCACAGTTGGTTGCTGAATTAATGCTGCTTTTACTTACGAATCAACTAAAATAATATAACCAGTAAAAGTAAAGCAGATCTCAGTTTCAAGCTGCAGAAGAAAAGAAGACTTACGGAGGAATATTACATCCTTATCAGATAGGGTTTTTTTCCACAAAAAGCATCATAAGTTCTCTCCCTCCCCTAGGCAGATCTGAACTGTTGCACAACCTGGCAATGTGATTTGCTTACTGGATTACCAAAAAAAAAAAGCTATTTTGTGTTAAGTGTGTGGTAACTACATGGTAGATATATTGGAAGCCATGATTGTTATTATACTGTAACTTGCGGTAACAGTACAATATTGCTCTATGATATAATAGCAGGGGGCCAAGAGCTGCCTTGTGTGGAGTCTTGGATAAATACAGAAATCTGACTGGTTGCTGAGGAATTCAGCCCATGTCATTATCACTCTGTCAGCACTAAATCAATACTATCACAAGCCAGATAATTGCACCACTTTCTTTTTAATTACTATAAAGGTAAAGAAATATATAAAAATATTATAAATGGAAAAATTAAACCTTGCTCAAAAAGCTAGCATGGGCCATATAAAAAGCTGATGTTCTGACTTAAATCTGTCTCACAAGATCTGCCTGGGAATTCTCGGCCTCTTGCAAAGTTTAAAAGTGCAGTAAGGAGGGCATATATGTTCTTTTGTTCACACTGAGCACAGTTCATGTTCTGGCATCAGGGAACTTTAAAAGATTAAGTCTGACCAGCAAATGATGAATTACAAAAAACAAATAAACAAATAAACAAACAAAAAATCCAGCAAAAGCAGAATGGACCAAATCTTTGTCCAGTGTAACAGTAACTTGTTTGGAACTAGTCGGCATCACTCTAGCTGGTGCACTGTTTTTAACCATTTTCTTTCAGAACCGCTTGCATTTGTGGAAATCTGACAGTTTAACCAGCTGTTCCTATATGACCCTTAAAAAGATCCCTTGTTTGTGTTAATAACTAATTTTTTAAAAAAAAACAAAAATAAAAGAGTTACCTTTAATGAAACCACAAATCGATAAGTTATGCAGTCCTAAGGTTCCACTTTAAGCAGACAAGGATTTTGAAATAAGGAAGTGCATACTCATCAGTAAAGTTAACTCTAGATTTGCAGCAAAGCTGACATAAAAAAATGAAGGAATTTCCACTCTGCAGAAAATTACATCATTCTCACAGTTGTAACTGCACTGGAACAATGCAGATTTTTTCTCCACCCTTCTCTCCCTCTTCACTTCTCACTGGGTTTAATGGAAATAGAAATGTTCTCAAATAATTCAATCATGAAAAAAAAACCACATAGTTTTATTTTCAGTGAGTTTTCCTCAAACTGTTGCAGTGTCGTGGGGGATTTGCCACTCCAATGCTCCTTGTCTGTCCCTATTCTCATTCATGGATGGGGGACACCATGGACAAGCAGGTGTGACACCCATGGTCACTTTGCGGACTATGTCATTGGCATATTCAGTTGTATTTCTTAGCAAAATAGCTGGTTCTGACACCCTTTTCACACAAAGTCACAGCTTATACCATGAGGAGTCCTACTGTGACCAATGAATCTAACTATGCAGAAAGGGTGGAGATTCTTCACTTAATTTTAGCTGTCTAAAAGTTAGTCTTCGCCACCTCCGTCTGTAATCAGGAAAAAGAGAAGGGTATCTTCTGAAAACAGTTCAGTTACAGTTAAGACAGATTAAAATGTCAGATGTAAAGTGCCAGAAGCTGGTCCAGAGACACATTTGTCCGCTGTGCTACCCTTTGTATAGAGGGCACTGACTTACTGAATGAACAGCCCCATCAAATTCAGTAAGATTATCATGTGAGACAGGTGAACACAGAGAAAAATCATATCAGGAATCTAAAATACATACAATTGTGCCTCAATATTACTGAAATCTCATAAAAAGGGAACTAATTTCACACAGCCTAGGACAGTTTTTTTCCCACAATTTGCCTTTAGTGCAGTTCTGCAGCAGACGCAGAATTTTTTAGGGAGAGCAGAGACTCCCAGGACTGCAGACTGTAGCACTTCTTAGTTTTCATCTATAAATTGATGGAGAGTATCTGCCTTCTTCAGGGGATAATTCAGAAAAAGAAAAAAGAAAAAACATAAGCTTGATAAATTAGCTAAAGGTGACATTTGGAAGTTTTTATACAATATGTGAACATAATGTGTTAGGTAGCTTAGAAATAGGCTTAGAAATGGGCCAATAGGCCCATTTGAAAATTTTTCAGAAAAACAGTATTCCTAGCAGAAACTGCTTCAGCTTGAAATGTGAATGCTTATTTTTGTCAGAGAAGGGTCCTTCTTTCATGTAGGAAGAAGGACAGATGTAATGAATGCAGCTTTTCTCCAACTAGACCTGTCAAGGCCTATAAAAGTGCTTCACTAGAATGAGTCCCATAAAATAAAACAGAATTTCAATTTGCTCTCTCGATGAATTTTTTTTCCAAAACGAAATATAAACAGGATGTATATATTAAATCTCAATGACAAAAGATACTGTTTTCTTAGGCTGTTAAGACTGGAATGTAATGAAAGCCCCATAGATTAGATTACTTATTAGAATAGAAACAAATTCTAATAAAAAGCTGGAAAACATAGATATATAAAAGTGTCCCTCAAAAAGATTTTATTTGGGTTTTTATGACCCACCAAAACACTCCCACTGTGAAATAAAATAAAACAAAACTGTAAAAGGCTGAAGGAACTACTAAAACTTCTCAAATGTTTAATTAACACTTTCTGCTTCTCTTTCCTGCTGTGTAATTCAACCGCATTTATTTTATATAAGCTTTAGTTCAGTCTTTTAGTTTGTCTAACCTTACAAATAGGAGAATAGCCCTGGATAAGCATTTTTTTTCCTGATATCCACTGAAAGCATAATAAATTCCTCTCCTCCTTTTACAAATTTTTTTCTGAAATTCTTGGTGATAATTACCAGAGAAAAGAAAATTGAGACAATAGTGGAAAACACCATTACAAAGGCAATGATTCAAAAAAGTTTCCAAGTATTTTTTTTTCTTGGTGATAGGAACACAGGGGTGGCATGATCTGGTTTCCTTGTTTTTAGAAGAGTATGAATGCATATGCACAACTACATTGGGTGTCTGCCAGATATCAAGTATCTGTCTGTTTCCATAGCAAATGATCCACAAAACTATGCAACTTATTGTTGCTGCTAAGTAGTCAAAGTAAATCATCACTACAGATAAGCATCACTTTATCTCCTAGCAGCAGATAGGATGTGGATATTTAATTCCACATCAAGACATATCCAGGCAGCAAGACACATAATCACTTCCATCAATTAACAGAATTAAGTCTAAAAACAGTTAATCTAGATTAGATTCTCCCTTCATTATTACAGCAATTCAAATCTCAGGTAGATCAAAAAAATCTAGTAAGTGTCTGTCCTAAATTTACTGATCCTATCTGTTCTTCTGCCAATACTGTTTTGCGTCAAAAAAATGTCCTTTTCCCTCCTTAATTCCTACTTCAGTGATGCCAGCAAACATGTCCTCTCAGTCTCTGTTCACCCAGCTGGGCTATCCTGGGATATATCTGTGCAATAGGGACAGTCTGAGCCCTGTTCTAGCACATGTGGAGACCCTAACTTGAACACAGATGAGACACCTACACAAGACCTGTGCAATTTATTTCCATATTGGAGATGGTAGTATATCCACATCAAATCAACATAGCATTTAGGCTAAAAACTTCCATCAAGACGCTTTAAGACATGTTTCTTAAGATTGTACAGTCTTGGTTATTTCTATCATTCTTCGTTGGTCATGTAAGTTCCAGAATAAATGAAATAAAGTAGCAGTTGCATCTTAATAATTTTCAGCCTCTCTTGGACAAGAAAATACTACCTGCTTTGATTAAACGCAATTCAGAAATATTCCAGTATATTTGAAATGTACCATTAGACTATGCAGAAGAATGTAAATGATTTATATAAATATAAATTTTTATTACTTATGAAAGTAAGCCAAAACTTTAGCATTTCTAGTCAGACACTGTCTTACCAAGAGAATAGTTACAACATCATATAAATTAAAAAGTAGAGAGTCTTAGCATAAAATATATTTTTTTTCAATAAATAAAACTCTGTAACAGAACAGAACAGATATCTTGCCAAATGAAGAAGATATGAACATTTTTCATTTTTAAGGTG